AAATAGTAAAAAATATAGACTATGTTACTTACAGATTACCTTTCAAATGGTGAAAGAATTTTTGAAATCGGCCCAGTAGTTTTTACGTAAATCGATTACATACAAAAATTTTAAAATACAAATGTTTCCTCTTTATATTAGTACTAGCTTTCGCCCGCGACTCCGTCCGCGCGTTGTTCTAAAAAACAAAAATTAGTAGCCTATGTGTTCTTCCAGACTATCCTCTATATCTATACCAAATTTCATCGAGATCCGTACAGCCGTTTAGGCTACAAACTCTAACAAACATCCATCCATCTAAACTTTCGCATTTTTAATATAGTAGGATAAGATAGATATGTATGCCATAGTTATGAAAACGATACTCTAGATATTACACTGGTATTCAATTTACTCAGGCAATATTCTATTTCTAGCTTTAAGTGATTGTTGACTTACAGTGAAAGGCTTTTTTTTATTTATTTATTTATCAAACACAGTACAATATACAATATGCTTTTGGGCAAGTTCTATGGCCAGCAATAAACTGTTACAGGCTGGTGATAATAATGGGTATCTGCATATTATTCGTTTATTAGTACTAATTTACCCCAAATAAGGGTAAAAAATACCCTTTAATATCATGTAGATAGAAGTATACAAGAAAAAATAAATAACATAACAAGATTTTACAATTATTTCAAACAAATTGTAATATACATCTAACTTAATAAGGATTGTTAAATATATAGATTTTATCAAACAGGAATTCAGCAAATAACTTTAACTCCTTATAACAGTTATAATCTATACATATAATAAAAATGGAGTGTCCGTATGTAAAAAAAAATTCATATTTCGGAAAAAATCATGTATTTGCATTGCTGATTATGAAAATAGCATACAAAACAGATATAACTGGCAATTAAAAATTGAGTTCATCAAAGACATTCAAGACACATATAGACCAGGCATAGTGAATAAAAAAATTTCACCGGTACTTTCTCTGAAAGGTACTATATCAGTTGTCAAGTTTAGTGCCATATCATTTCCTTGTTTTGACATGTAATAAAACATTTAAAAAAAACAGTGTTAAAAATAAAATAAAGACATTTAAATATTATTTATTGACATCTATTGAAATTTATTTTAAATACATTTAATTCCTTTGGCATGATGTTTTGAGACTATCAATAGATAGTGTTAGTGAAGATAATTTAAAATGTCTCAAGTGAAGTTAACTATGACTCCTCTAAATGTTTGAATCACTTTGAATTACTATGAACATAAATTATAGTGCAAAAATTTAATTTCATAATTAAGGGAGAACAATCACAGGGTAATATTTACTGTCACATAATTTAATATTATTAATACAACTTTTTAACCAATTTTTAGTAACATGTCTCACATCTGGCGGGCATTTATGTTTTAATTTTTGCATTTTACTAAATTCAATAATATCATCATTATGTACAAGATAATCGACGTTCGGTGATTTTATTGCTTTAACAACCTCCCCTCCGTAAGCAATCCAATGCCTTTCGAAAAATCTCCTCTCATCTTCAGGTATACTTATAAAATCTGGATAAAAACCGATTTTTTTATCCAAAAATGCATCCGGTAAGGGATTATTTGGTAATAATTGAAATTTAATATCAATTGATTCAGTATCATGTAAAGTATCACTGCTTTCTGTTGAATCTAAATTATTCGATTTCCGTTTCTTCGGTGAACCTTTATTGGTTAGGAATTTATCTATTTTTGTAACACCATTTAAATGTTTCTTTTCTTTAGTTCCTGGTGATACCTTTGAAGGGCTGATTTTAAATTTCTTCACAGGAGGTTCATCGTCATTCGCTGTTTCGGCTAATTTATTTAATAATGATACATCTGTTTTTTCTTTAGATGTTTTATAAAGTTGATTTAACTCGTCTAAATTGATAGCTGTTTTCCAATCTTTGTCGTCTCTTATTCTCGTCACTCTTGGAAATCTTACTGAAATGCCATCAGCTGTGTGAAGGTTTGCTTTAGTGAATTCTGTACCTGTAAAATAAATTGATTTTTTATAACACAAGCCATCTCAATCCACCAAAATAGCGAAGCAAATGCTGCCTTAAAAAAAGTAGGAACCTTAAAGAATGAGAGAGAATTAAAATACAAACCAGTTATTTCCCAAACAGGTTGGTTTTTTGGGTCTTTAGCGACAAAATCAGGTACCATCCCTTTGTTACAATCCAACCAAGTGGGAAGTTTTGTGTATTCCTGTGATATTTTCACCATTAACGGGGCAAGTTCTTTTTGTAATCTCTCTAATGTGGGATCATCGTGTCCTGTATGAACTTTAGTAACGGTCACCCAACGATTTCTTCGATTATCTAAACAACCCATTAGGAAAACTGACATCATTCCACCTTTTTTACCAGTACCTAGAAAGTATACAAAAGTATTTTGTAAGTTTTTTTTAATAGAAATAAAAAACACAAGTCAAAATTGACATATACTAACTTCAGTCATAAAGTTCCATACATACTGTGTGTAGGCAAAATTTTAACTGTCACTTCTACTGTTTAGTTTAAATGTTGCCAATACATGCACAGTATTAACTGAACAGTTCACCTGTACTAACAGTGTGTATGAAGTGGATTATAATGAAATATGAATTATTTCTTCTGGTGTATTTATGCTTTTAGGTTATTTTAGTATTAAGCAAATTGGACCATTCAAATTAAAATACATGTTTTCAAGATAAAAAGTAATTAATAAAACTCACCAAACCAAGCTCCAAGTACAACCAAATCTGCAGTGTCAGCCATTGCTCCATCAAACAAATAATCCTTCTTTACTTTTAGCCAATGTCTTTTGCCTGGCTCATAGGTTGATTCCAAGTCCTTTAAAACAAGACCTTCTAAACCCAATTGTAGAACCTGGAATTAGTTAAACATATATTTTATTATTTTATAATATTAAACTTAAATTAAAAAGATAGTATAAAACAAAGTTGCTTCAAACTGTGTCTGTCCCTATGTATGCTTAGATCTTTAAATCTACGAGTACACAATGGATTTCGATACAGTTTTTTTAGTAGATAGTGATTCAAGAGGAAGGTTGATATGTTTATAAGTATGATATAGTAGAGAAATACTGTTAGTCTTAAGAGTTTTGTAATGCCATGTAAATAAACACATTTTTGTATCAGTATTGTATCCATGCAGATTGGGGTTGCTAGTTAGAGGTAAAATAAAAAAAAAACTAACTTTTGCAATCATTTTAGCTAAATCTGCTGGTTTTTTAATTAATTCCTGCTCTGAAAACATTACATGATTTTTCACTTCGACCATGTTTTCGAGAAGAATTTGTCTTCTTTTTACAATTGGTAAATCCATTAGAATATCTCCATTGTAATAAAGACAATCAAAAACGTATAGACATACTTCAGCATCTTTGAATGCAGACTGTTTGTGTATACCTAATGTACCAAATGGTAAAGGTTTCCCAGTTTTCACATCAACCAGTAAAATTTCTGCATCTAGTACCAAATCGGTACCTTTAGGAAATGCCTTCGGCAAATATTCTTTTAAATGATTTACTTTATGTGCCATTACAGCCTTAAGAGCTCGAGAAAAATATTTAAATTCAGAACCTTTTTTATGAACTTGAACTCTTTCACCATCATATTTTATTTCCGAGAACATTCCGTTTGGACATTTCTTCATAGCCATTTCTATAGATTTACATGCTTCAGCTAACATAGGCAAAACAGGTGTCATAAGAACTAGTGTCACTTGCATAGATTTCTGTATAGCATCTTTATGTTTTATTTTATCATTTTGAGACAGAACACGGTCTAAAACCATGTCTAAATCTCTTGATGTTTGAAACACTTGGTATGCGTCAGGATGTACACCTTCTAGAATATGTTTTGGTCCGGCATTTATTCTTAAATCACCTTTGATTAAACGGATTAACATTGTCATATCATCTAGGTCACATTTCTTTACAATCTTTTTAAATTGATATATTTGTTCATCTTCTCTTGTCAACTTTGAAAGATCTTCAAGGAATTCTTCCACCTCCTGTACAGTAAGTGTACTCTCACTGGCCGGTTGTATAACTTTAGATTTGGAAAAAAAGCTTTGAATTGTAATTGCCACATCTCCTTGTTCCAAATGTGTCAACATATCATCATGATCCATACAAAATATTCGTGAAAATAACTTAACTAGTTGTTTACTTTTAAGATTGTAAACCCTTTTACACACTTGAGGAAGTAACAACTTACACCATAGAGCCAAATCCCCTTTAAAATGGTCACCATCACAACCTCTTGTAAAAAACCTGTTCACAACTGCTGTTTTCTCAGTATATGCATCTACTTTGGATATTCCCTTGCATAATTTTACGAATTCCGAAAACTTATTATCTTGAATATTCTGTATACAGCCACTTTTATTGAAGTTACCTTGCTCAAATGCATCACTAGTTGATTTGATAACGGGTTTTGACTCATTTTTTATCACTTTCGCAATATATTTCCCGTCATGTTTTTCAGCGAAAAGTTTTTCAGTCTCGTTTATTTTTTTTAATACAGTATTTTGATCTCCTTCAGACAAATTCTGCCAGTTTCCAATATCGTCTATCGAGTCAATCCGCTTTGTTGCAGGTCGTTGCTTTAAAAGTATATTCATAAAACAATCAACATGATACCATGACTTCATCGGTTGATTTTCATTATAAGGACTAGGTACTAATTTAGCAATGCGTAATTCACCGTTTGGGCAGTTACTCTTGCAGGATTTGCACGACGCCCGACCACCCTTTGCGCGATCAACGTAAAACGGAACATACGGTTCACCCATTTCTAAAACACACAAAACCCCAAGATTTCTTCATGTGAATCTCACAGTATAACAAAATTTTTCCGTATAAACTATTGTTGTAAACTCGTAACTTGACATTTCAAAGCATGACAAATGACATTGACAATTGACAACATCATGTCGTGTCACTGCATAGCAGATTAAAAATAATTGGTTGGAGTTCAAGTCTTTTGAACAAAATTATTTAATCCGCGAAATCTTTGTACACTTCTTTAAGAAATAAGCACATGAACACTAGTATTCACAAATACTCTATCATAGCTTGTAAAACAACATTACATTTAAGCATCTTTACATTTTATTACATTTAATTTCACTTGATATCCTACACGCAGTGAAGCCAACAAACACTTTGCCGCAAGGCATTGACGTAATTTTCGAGCATGCGCACTCTTGCTCTTTAGTTCAAGGATTACAGTTTCAACTTTACAAAGGCTTTTGTATACATATGTAAATATTTTCAAACAAAACGGAAAAATTCTGTTTTTAATAATATTGTACTTTTGATTTAATAAGTTACAATGCGGTAATTGAAATAACTTAATAAAATTAATGAATTACAGTAGATTATTTTTTTTCACTTTCAGCATCTTCGTGTCATCAGGAGTTTAGCAGCGACGGTTCCAAACATGGAACACTCACTTCGCCGCATTACCCCCTGGCTTATCCACCGAACACACATTGTCACTACGAATTCTTCGGAAGAGGAAAGGAGAGGGTTAGGCTGATATTTCATGACTTCTACTTACACAAACCAGCAGATGGATCATTGGAGTAAGTCTTGTACCAAAACATTATTCAGTTTTAAAGGAACATTTTTTATCCCACATGGTTCCAAGTTATTGACAATCTAAAACATATGTTTTTATTTTTCCCAGCTGTGCAAATGTAGATTCACTCCAAGCATTCGTCAACGTTGATGGCCGATTAGAAAAGGTGGAAGCATTCTGTGGAACGGATCTGCCTAAGCCTGTTATGTCCAATGGGCCTAAACTAATGCTGGAATTTCGCGGGACGCAATCGTCAAGGCATTCCAGGGGTTTTAAAATAACATATTCTTTTGTGGAAAGTAAGTATTTAATAGGGTAACTATTGAGAAAAAGAAACTATTGATTAACAATTACAAGTGTGTAAATGTTAAGACTATAAATTAGTTACAATTAAAAGTCCATCACATATTTCTGAAGTAAGACACTACGTTCTTAATCTTTGGATCCATGTTATCGATTCCCTATTCGTATATGTATGAGTTTTCTGTATATAATTAAATTAGTAAAGTCGAGTGCTTTGTCAACAACACACTAATTAGTTCGGAAATTAATAGTGAATATTTAAACACCGAAGCGGCCAAAGTGGCCACATTCAATTCACGTTGATAATGTTCAGATTGTACATCATAAAATAGACTCTATTAATAACCAATGAAATAGTTTTGTAATGTTTTCGTTTCAGATTTCGGGATCACAACTGGTAGACAGTTGAAGGAATTCCCGTGTGCTTTCGTGTATAACAGCACAGAAAGTCACAACGGTACTTTCGCGTCTCCCAACTGGCCTGGACCGTATCCTCGTGACACTGAATGCACGTATTTCTTTCACGGCGGTCAAACTGAGAAGGTGCATCTCTATTTTACGAATTTTGGCGTCGAAGGTGTTTTACCGTAAGTATACAGAATTCTGACTTTAGCAACTTATATAACATATATACTATAGTTTTCACTAGTGCTAGAATTACATCTACTACAGCTATTACAACTACCATATTTTTTTAAATATCACTGACCTTTTCGTTCAACTAATTAAATGAAATAACATCACGTTCCAGATGCGAAGCAGTATCGGGCAGCGACTACGTCGAGTTCTCGAACTACATGACTGAAGATAGCCGGTTTGGGCGCTACTGCGGCCAGATGAAAGAATTCCACGTCGAGTCCGACAGGAACTTCTTCAAGGTTACCTTTCGCTCCAACGACAGACTCGACGGAACGGGCTTCAAAGCGATGTACCAATTCCTAGAAGTCACCGACGAGTATCGAGCTCCTTTGCAAGATAAAGCTTCGGTTACTGCAAGTAAGTTTTTTGAAAACACATAACAAAGAACGTTTAACTGCCGCTAAATTAATAACCACCGGACGTAAAATCGTAATGTTTAATAAATAATCGTAGAATTAATCATCTCCCTGTCTATCCCATGAACGTTTATTTTGAGCACCATGTCATCTACTTCGGACTGAAGGAAGAAATATATACTAAGCGCCTATTTAAGTGGACAAAACGATTATAATTGTGGATTTATGCAACAAAGTGTGCATCCGTAAAATATGAATTTCAATCTGTGTTACGAGGAAGTCCTCTCTGACAGGGTTTTCTCCTTTTTAAAAAGAGTAGATCAGTATAAGAGTAAACTATAATAATATTACACTATTCTAATGCATTTTAGGGAAAAATATTGCCATTTCGCCCTTCGTTGTATAAAAACTGTACTTTTATTTCCATTTTCAGGAGTTCCAGAAATTCTGCTCTTCATCAGCGCAATCGCGTCGCATCTCCACTGGTTATATCATTAAATAAAGTGATATTAGAATAATTACTACTATTAGACTATTAATCCTGTACATTTTGTAACATAGTAAGTGCCGTACTCTTGTAATTTAAACGTAGGATTGCAATATTTTCTATAAATTAAATATTTAAGTTTTCCTCTATTACCAAATAAAGCAATATTACACAATAAAACTTTATTCACGCGGGCACGTCGTATTATAAATAAATTATATGAAAAAAATTGTGTTACTTTTATTTATACCTTATTTATTATGGCCCAAAAAACACGAGAGAGGAGTGATATGATTCGATGATTCATAATACCACAGATAATACAATTCTACACTGGTAATAATAATACGTCAAAGTATAACGGTCGAATGCTGAAACAGCGTCTTAAAAAATGCCACGCTTAACTTACAAATTCCCTTACAAATTAAGGTAATCAAGTATTTAAAAGTTGTTTTAGTATTTGGCCGTATCCTTGGGGATTGAGTTTAACTGTGCCAGTCAGAATGGTGGGCTTACTTACCATAGCAAATTAAATTTTACCACTTACAAAAGATATCTATCTAGTAGTACGTACTTAGTACCTCGGTCAAATAAAGTACCTTTTCCAGATCGCAATTATAGTCAAATTAAGGTACACTCGCCATTTTGACTCTTACGTCTTTAACTTAGTCAATATGAAGTTCAAAGAAGTTTCTTAGGGAATTTTATCGTTATTAATGATCAAAGAAGGGTAACTCTCTAAAAGTGAACTATACGCATATGCAATAAACTTGCAAACATACATACAAAAGCGGCTATTAATATTTTAAAATTTTACCTGATTTATTCTTTTCCTATTCTATTCTGAATTCCAAAAAATGCCTCATCACATGAAAATCACGACAAATCCTGAAAACATATAAACAAGTCAGATCAGTTTAACTTCTTTATCTAGGAGCACGTTTCAAAAGGTGAATGTATCACCATTTCATCTTTTGATCACAGTGTGGAAGCAAACATAGGCTACATACTGTTTTTATTTTTAACTAGCTGTTGCTCGCGACTTCGTCCACGCAATATTAAGTTAAAAAGTAGCCTATAATGTCAGCTACCCTTCAGTGAAAGTCCAGTCCGTTTCGCAGCTTACCTAGAACAAACGCAGCTTGCGGTCAGACAGACAGACAGTCAAAAATTTTTTAAATGAGTTTTTCGTTATCAGCAATGCAAATACATCATCTTCCCGAAATCTGGAATTTTTCTTTTGATATTACAAACAAAACCTTCAATTTTATTATATGTATAGATACCGTGCGGACAGAGTCACGGACAAAATCTATGTATAACAATGAGGTTCGGTAAAATTATAACACAATAATTGAAATAAAACATCTATAAGTCTACAATTTAGCGGCTAAACTTTGTAACGTTGCGTCACCTGAGAAAAGAAATGTTCATTCGCCTCATTGGCTGTTTGCAGTTGTTGGTCGCACGCAGACAGGTGTGGCGGCGCTACTAGTCAGATTGTAGTCTGTGCTGTTCTCGCCCCCTTTCCCTCCTCCGCAACCCGAATACGTCAGTTCGGATACGTTCTCCGTCCGTTTGAGTACTGTTGTTGCGCTTGTTATAACGATAAACGCGCGAACTTTTTACGGTTAAAAGTTTTATGGTGACATTTGTATTGAGTTTATTATATTATTGTGTTGTATTTGTGGAACCATTGTTCACATATAACTGGTGATAAAGGTGTGTTTACACTGTGTTTGTGATCTCAGGTGTCGCATTCCACGGACGCGTAAAGCTTCTGTATACAGGTGGACTGTTTAAAGGATCTATTTACATATGTAAGTAGTTTTGTCTACCTGTTGTGTTAATTCTAGCTTCGATATATTTCTTTTTATTTCTATCCTTTTTTTTTGTTAAATTGTACGAAAACGAAGGCAATTCAAATACTAAAAGCAAGACTAGAAACTATAAAATATACACGGAACAAAGTCTACGTTGATTTCAATTAATAAGGACATGCTCGTAATAAAGTCTCGAGTAATCTCTTAATATAGAGTACGACCAATACCTACCGGTCGTTTTTTGTTAATTTTTGTCAGGTAGTACCTACATTCTATAGTAATTTTACCCCAACATACCTGTTCGAAATTTACTGCAAATCGCCTTAAAAGTTTGTGGTCTATGGTTTAGATCTGTATTGGTCAAATAGATAAAATATAATTTTATTACTGTACTCAATCGAAACCACTTGAAAGTTATCGAATAGGTTTGATCGTATTCAAAATTAGAAAATCGATATGTTTTGTGAGAGTTCTGAGATAAAAGTTAGGATGAAAATATATTTATTTATTCCAACCGTTGACATTTGTTTATGTAATTACCATAAACGATCAATAAGGTCTGATGCATTATGCATATTCGATAGTTACCTACTTTTTGTATTGAACGACTCGTGCGGAAGTATTTGTGTTTGCATTTTTAAACGGAAATAGAAACGCGATTTACAATACACTTCCAATTTGTAACATTTCTACAGTTAATAACTAATTTCAAATGTTGCCAGAATTGAATTTGATACTAACTTTAATCGTTCAAAAATTAACAATAATTTCGCGCCGTTATGTACATTTTTTTTTTAAATTCTCGCCAAACTAAACTCTCAGGCGAAGCTCATGTAGGTACTTACTTAACATAACTATTGGAACTAACAAGAGCTGTAATTATAATTACGATGCCTGCGTACGGCTTTAAAAAGTTAACTCTTGACTTGGGAATGTCAAAAATGTTGACATAATCTCCTTGACATAAGTTAATTAATAAGAAACCTGTCAGGCGCCTGCACACAGGCTCGTAACCTGTGCAAGTTGAGTAATGAGGATGAACAAAGAATAGAAAACACTTAAAAAATTATATTGTCGTTTAATTGCACCTTGTTATAGACACAAATAGGACGAGCGTTCAATTTAAAATATTAATGGCCGGTTTTCCAGCTATGTTTAACGATTCCTTAGTGTATTCCGAACTACGTAACTTGAGTTTTACTCCCTTGAAACATAGATCAATCTAACGCTAATAAATCAATGGTTAATGACAAAATAAATGAAAACTTCAGAAACCCAGCATTAGATAAATAAAATGTAATTGTTAATATCAATTTAAATTCTACCAATATATCTTTACATTGTGATTTTTTAAAGTACTATTTAACGATTTTTTTTAAATTAACCTTTTATACATTGGTTATTCTAATTGTTAATGTCGTCATTGAAGAGAGTGTTTTTTTTCCTCTTAAAATTACTAGATATTATTTGCGAGTAAATCGATTCGCAATGGCGAAATCAACCGCGAATTTCATTGAATTGCTTTGACATTGTACTTGTCTATTTTGTTTGGTCTGGCTTTACTTTCAAGGTTTTATATTGAATTCCAATCAGCAATACGATGTATTGTACATTATACATTATCAAAGGAAATTAATTAAATCATTTAAAAAGTCTTAAGTTATAATTTCAAAATTCTAGTATTATTTGAATAACGTAATATGTTTCGCTAGTTTTAGTCTATTTTTTAGTTTTTGGTTGCAACAATCGATTGCTCGTTAAGTAGCCGTGAGTTATACGAGGTTTTGTATTGTACATATTGTAATAATATCTTTTGAATAGATAATATAGTTCGTATCAAGTTTCACGCATCCCACCTGTGTCAAGACAATCAACATCTTGTTACAGTATTGTTCACTCGTCCTTGCTCCGTATAACGCATTAGCAACGCAAATTTTTATCATGTTCATTGAGCATTGAGTTTGATATCGAAATTAATGTCATATGTCTTATTGATTCATAGATTTGAATATTTATATGGCCGTAAGGTCTTAAAAGATTTTATGTCGATCTTTCTTGGATTTATAAGAGTTGAAACTGGTTTAATGTTACAAGCGTTTCTTTTGTTTTCGCTAATTATATTTCTTACACGGACGCTTTGAACGTATCTTGGACAACTAACGTTTTAAAAATTTCTTCGCTCTCACTTGTTTCGCTCGCTCAGTGCTCAAAAACCAACAGCAAACATAATAAACAGCTACTTATTAAACTAGCATGCACCTTTCGACTGCATCATCACTTTCTTCAGGTGGGAACGTGGTCAAGGGCTAGCTTAACAAACATAAAAAACACTGCGAAAAGCGTACGGTTTTAAATGCGCTGCCGTATGAATAGATAGGAAACGCATTAGTGCTATTTGAACGCTCTTTTAGCGCCCGTACCGGGGGTTAGGATTTTAAAGCAAGTAAATTGTATTTCTCTAAACAGACTAGTGCTTTAATGTAACTGTCAGATATGCCCTGCAATACGAGCTATTGTGACAATGCGAATAATTTACGTAATAAATAATATCTGATACGGATCTAAAACTTTAGCCTTTCACGGATTGTAAGCCTCGTGTCTTTTGTATGCTTGAAGGGTTGTATTTATCTAATGTGGACTTTCTCTGAATGTAAAGGTAGTTACAAACGTGTGCTTAGAGGCCACGTTTGGATGACAAATTGGATGATTAGTACTAAATCACGACCGCTGCACGCTCAATGCGTTCCACTTTCGTACAAGGTGACTTTTGGTTGGAATTGAAGTCTTATTGTATGGATTCGTGCGTTTTTATGACGATATTGTGGTAAGAACGACTATTTCGCCATCAATTGAATTGCATACTCTGATTTATGTATATTTGTGCAACTTTGGTTTTATAGACCTATTTGGTAGAAGATTTCTACCTTTTACTATAGCTAATAAGCTTGGTTTTTATTGAAAATACCAACGTATGCTTAAGATCAAAACTGTGAAAGGTTATAGTGATAAAAATTGGTATGTTTTCCTGTACAGGTATTTCCCAATATTTTAATTGTATTATGCGGGTACCTACAACAAAAGGGAGGCAACCCTCGTTTGCGTCTAGACATTCGATAAACAAAGGAGGGGAGAATCGAATTATACTAATCCGGCGTAGTTTATATAGTTCTATAGATATGATTTAATATAATACTGGTAAAATAAAAATATTTTGTCGTTTTATTTATATTTAATGTAATTTTAGGTTATGTACTACATATGTGACAAATTTCATGGAGATTCTTCAACAATTTAGGCTACAAACTCTACAAAATTCCGTCCTTCCATCCAAACAGATATAAATACAGTTTTAATATCAAGTCAATTATAATATTCAAGGACAACCATCATTTGTCAGTCTACGTAAGATCCATCGACGACATATTTGTACTCGTGCCAACTCCTTTGTATTCACCGATGTTACTAGCTTACGTACTTAGTATGCAGTATGTAATATGGTAGGTCGAATGAGGTAAGAGACATTACATGCATGACAGTTCTGATCGACAACCTTTAAGTCATATACTAAACACTTTGATGACAATTTTATTGAAACTGTGTCGCAATCACGAGTACATGGACAGCCTTACTGTTACTTAAGAAAAATGGTAAAGTATTTATCTTCGTAAACGCTGCTTACAATCTCATAGACGACACAATTTGTAGAGATGTTGGAGTTGAAGCGTAATCTTATCATTTTAGATGCTTGTATCTTTTTAATATTTGGTAGTAAATCTCTTAGTATTATTCACAAAAAGTAGACGACCAACAGTAGTATGACGTTCTATAACATATATGCTAATTCCATTGGAAAAGTCAAATATCGCAATATGTTTTTATGTCAATATTTATAATGAAAACTCAAGTTGAGGTTGCAATTAGTTTCGAGCTGCGCAGTAGCTTGTGAAATTACGATAACGAGGCGTAAGATCGACAAGACCCTGCAGTTCAAGGTCAAAGTGCAAACGCTGTACTGAACAGGTATTTGTCTTTAATCTAAGCTTTCAATCCTAAGTAGCACAGAAGGCGTGTTATTTACATCCGTGTGGTTTCATTTGTCTCGTTACTAAATGGCATAAACGCATTCTATTATTGTATTTAACTAGTTGTTCCAGTGTAGCTTCATCCTCATGAAATGTTAAAAACTTTATTTTTATTGTATACATTTGTCAAATTCTCAATTGCAAATGTCAAAATTACCGGTACCATAATAACCTTGCTTCCTTAATGTTGGTAGCTTGTACTTTATGGTACCTTTCCCACATGAAAAATTTTTCTAATTTATTTACGCCCTAAGTTGATTAGCGTGAAAATATATAGCCTAAAACGTGTCGTAAATGTAATTTTTATTAACGAAAGAATTATTCAAAAATATGCTGTGTTTGCTGACATTTTACGCCACGAAGTAGTGTGTGTTTACGCTTTTTTATATTAGTACAGATTAGACATTCTCTGAAGTCTATAAGATCAAATTTCCGACATACACTAAAGCGCAGTCTGATCCCAAACAGTGGCTGTTTAATTCCATCTGATAGAATTACCAATTCAAAATTACTGTGAGGCGAATAGTGGTGCGCTTTTGAATTTAAACGTGGCACGACTTCAAAGCATTGTGTTTGCTATTTACTTTAGGTCTGGCGTTGCAAACTGGATTCCCCGTAAGCCATCGAGATTATATTTTCTAACATAACATTGGCCATTGGCCGTCTTACTTTTCTGTTAGTTACTGCGTTTTTGCAGACATTTAGAATACATTTTAACTGTCATATTTGACAAGCATGTAAAAATGTAATGCAAAAAGACCGCCTTTGCTCAAATTGTAGTAGCTCAGTTTTAGTACACTTAGGGCCTGTCCCACCCCTGGCTGATAGACTTAGATCTCTTAAAATGACGTCATTGTCAGATAAGGTAACAAAATCCGATACTTCCATCATATATTTTACTAGTTGGATTGCTAT